CCCCAAAACCCCAAAACCCCAAAACCCCTCAACAGCGAGATTAGCTTGAAAATAAAATGGATTATAATCTAGTTTTGCAATATGAGAGCGTACTTTCTCGTAGAAATTTCCTACGTCTTTCATAGATCTCAATGCTTGTACCTGGACGACTCTGCAACTTACTAAAAGTGAGGAGAGATCCTACCTGATGTGCTCAAGTGAGGCAGATGGTAAACTAGACTCCCTGGGTTCATGAAAAATTCAGTTGATTTTTCTCTCAAGTTGCCTACTCTCAAGTGCAAGGATCTTCTCTACAAGCTTTCTCTTGTAACCTATATGTCAACCATATTGTCAATTACTAGATAAGTTGAAATTCTTTATCCTTCTCTTCTGAAGAGTTTTCCCACCTTTGATAAACTTATAATCCCCAGATAGAAGTCCTGCATATTTCTTTAGCAATGAGAGGTATTTGCTAAAGAAGGAGAGGTTTTTTACTTTCTGGACTTGCTTCAAGTCTAGCTGGGAAAGCTTGCCAGCATCTATAATTAAGCTGATAACATGTACTGAGATACACTAAAATTCCAGAAATAGTCTGAAATTTCACTGATTTAAAACGAGCATTCTTGCTTTTCATCGCTAAAGAGTTGTTAGAGGATCCAACCTTCTTGCATCGCTTCTAATTTGTTCTTAATGTATTGTGTTTTGTTCGAGAGGAATCAATCTGATGGCCTACAAGATTATATACTACTACTTACTCCTTTATCTGAATATTTACTTGTGATGAAGTGATGTTATTGACAGACATTTGCTCTCCTTTGATTGGCTGGCAAATTGTCGAATCGTAGCTTAAGAAATGACTAAATCCTTGATCATATTCGCCCCTAGAAATTTTAATAATGAGGGTTTACTTGACTATATTTAAATTTTTTCTTTTAGGTGAACTTTCTAATTTCTTCGGTGTTTGAAGAATCTACTGACTTCATATCTTTATTTTTCTTATTACACTATTAATTAGAGCATTTTCTTACAAATTGTGATAAATTAGAGGATACAAAGAAGGATCCTTTCATCTCAAATTTCTTAGTTAAACTCATTGCTTTCAACTGAGGAGGAGAGCTAGGCTTAGACAGACCCGACTGCTTTCTCCTCTTCGATTCAGACAGCACAGGAGTTTGAAGCCCCTCTTGGATAACAGATTCACTCCTCTTAAACGAATCCAAATTTTGAAATTCTAACTTCTTAAGCCTCCTAAAATTTATGGCTTTAATTTACCTTTGTCTTGGCTCTTTAACTGCTAGTCTTAGCTTTTTCTTCAAAATGTGGCTATCCAGCATTGATTTTGTAAGAGTCTACGCACATATTAATATCAAGATGTGATTTAGAACTTTACAAAAAATTACCGATGCTTCTCAAGCAATAATAAGCACGGTTCAGCAAGAATTCATACCTTTTGTCTAGTCTTCCTGCAAGAATTGTTCCTGCGGTATTCCACTAAAAATATTAAAGGGGATGGTTATGAGGGTTTGCATAAAATATGTTTGTAAAGGATCCTGAAGGATTTGTGTTAACTCGTAATGAAAAGTAGAGGCTAAATAAAAATTAAACTCCTGGTTCATGATTCCTTCTAGCCCTAATGCCTCCAATTTTTAAGCTAATTTCTCAAAAAATCGCATTATTATACTCTACGTACATAACCTGGAGATATTAAGCTCTTCCATGTCTGTGGACTTGCACACTGAGTCCTGGCCATGAAGCATCGGATCTAAGGACCTAGTGCTATAGGGTTGCATGAGAAAGCAGGATTTTATAATGAAAAGTAGACAAATAGACAAGAACAGTCAAGTAAATTAAAGCTTACCGTTCGGCATAGTCTCTCTTAAGTTTTCCAGGATCCTGGCTGGCAGTCTTTACGATTCTGTAGTAGGTGATTAGGAGAAGAAAATTTCATAATTTTGAAGAGGGTTTTTATGATTGGGATTAAGGAATAAGAACTTCCAGGATTACATTTTATTTCAATAGTGTCTGACGGTAACAGTCTTCAGGAAAGAGTTGTCTGTAGAAGAGACTCCAGTAAGACTTTTTCTTTGGTGATACGTCCAAGAAGTCCTATAAGCAGTCAAATCACTGTTATAAATAATAAAAATTACTGGAATACTAGAGTGGTTCCCTCTCTGAATGCTATTTATCATCTTGAAGTCCTTCAAGATGCTGTCTTGCTCAATTGAATCCCTATCTGGGTAATCTAATATCACGGTTAAGACTTTTTCTAAACCAAAAATATAGAACGAGCGGTTACATACCTATTGTTGCCTTCCTAATGTTTGAATTTTGCTATAGAACTGTCAATACCTTGGGATTTATAATTCTTACCTTTGGAGATGAACTTATCAAGACAGAAGAGCTAAGGTCCCTATCATTCTCCATTGCAGTGTTGGCATGGAACCTTGATCTTCCCATATGCTTAGGCATCTATAAATTATCAGTTAATGATATTCTTTCATAAGAATTTCAGTTAACCATATTTTGGTTCTAAATTTGTAGCATAAAAGTTTAATTAAACATCAGAGTTGCTAGCACTTTAGAAGATCATTCTTATTTATCCACTTTCTTGCGTAGCTGGCTGATATGAATTATTCAAATTGAACTAAAGTCCTTGAAAATATTGAAAATGCTTTAAAGTCCTTTTAATGCTAAGAAGCATAATTGGATTGTCATAATATAATAGTCTTGATTTCCAAAAAGTAGACCCCATTTTTCTGATTATCAAGGTAGGCATCCCAGTGTCGAGCACTCCTAGAACCACTAGAGGACAAGAGGAATGATTAAAAATAATATTAGGATACTTAGGCAGCCTTCTGGTCATATATCATGCATTAAGATTATTATTCAAAAGAGTTATCAACTTGGAATCCTTCCTAATTTTCAACTTTAAAAATCTTAACTAACTATGAACTTCGTAATAGAATATTGTCTTATTAGAAGAAAATTGGTAAGCATTTGTATAACCCTACATCTCAGTACTCCAAAAGGAGCAAATTTTTTACCATTTATAATGATTTAGTTGCAGATATAGCCCAGAAATACCCTTACCTTCATTTTGCAGACTTCAGGGTGTCCTCTAAGAAACTTGCCTAATTTCCTAGATTGTTTGGGTGCTTTCAAACTAGTGCTCATTTTTGTATATAATTATTCAATAATAGAGCTTCCTTTTGGGGTTTTGGGGTTTTGGGGTTTTGGGGTTTTGGGGTTTTGGGG